TCCATGACATGACCTGTCTCGTAAGTGTGGTAGCCGTACTTCATGAAGCGCAGTGTCTCGTGCATGTGTGGCTTGGGTCCTCACCTTGGGCTCCCTGGAGGTCCCCATACTGAGGCTTTTCTTTTTCTGCACGCTGTTTGCTTCTTTATGTTGGAGAATTGCAGTGGTTTTTGAATTAATGAGCGTGATCTTCATGTTATCCTGACTCTGGTCTTTCCAGGAGACTCGGGGCGATCGATGATCGATGGGAGAACAAACTTGACAACTTCTCTCTTTTCCCAATCCTTCGGCGTTGTCTCGGCCTCCGGCTGGGCACCCTCAAAGGACGGGCAGTGCGTAGTGGGAGCTGGACAGCTTCACCACTGGCTCCTCATGGCCGTCGGGGTAGACGAGCGCCAACCTGTCCTTGACCAGGTCAGCACCAGACTTCTCGAGGTAGTCGAGGCCGAGCAGCATCGGGGACTTGGTTTCCACAAGGTCGAACCACAGCTTATTATCGTCCTCCACGAGCGCTACCGGGTGCTCGAACCCGACCTTCCCGATGGACTGGCCTTTTTCGCCGCCCGCGTAGGTGAACTTCGTCGTCTTGCTGTAGTCCATCGTGACCTGGTCGCTGCCCGTCTCTTCCAAGATCGTGTCCTGAATCGCCGTGGCGAGGTCCAGGCCGATCATGCTCTTGGAGGCCCCGGTGTCAATGATCGCGTAGCCGACCATCTCCTCGTGTACCCAGCCCGCCTGGCCATCCTCCGGCGGGATGCCCTCGTTGCTGTAGTTCGTCTCGTCGGTCTCGACGTCCACGAAACCGACCTGCCCGGTGGCCATCTGCATGTTGTTGCCGTCGACTCCGGTGCTTAGCCGCTTCGGGCAGTCCACCGCACGGTGCGGGCCTTGGCATATCAGGCACTTGATCCCACGGCCCTTGCCCTTGCCAGTCGGACGGCGGCTCCCTGGTTGTGGTGGTGGAGGAGCACGGCGCTCCCCTCCCTGTGGGCCTGGGGGCTTGGTGGGCCGCAGGGCCGCCTTCGCCGTCGCCTTCTGCGTGTCGCGCTGCTGCTTCTCGGGAGCTGCCCGATCCCGACCACCGGGAAGTAGCCGCTCCTGTTCTTGGCCGCCTCCGCCAGCATCTTCTTCGCCTCCGTGAAGGTACGGTGGGCGTCCTGCGCATACACCTCTGCGTCCTCCGCGTATGCTTCCAGCTCCTCGATCTGCTCTTCGGCGGCGGCCTCCTCCTCGTAATTGACGTCCTCCTCGTCGGGCTCGTTACTACCCTCGAAGTAGACCTCGTCGAGATCGTCCTCGTCCTCCTGGTAATGGATCTTCGAACGATCGCGACGATTGTCACGGGTGCTCTGGATCCTCAGGTCCCTGCGCCTCGCCACTATGTTGTCCCTCGCGGCCAGGTCCTTGTCCGACCATACATTTTTCAGCTTGTCGATCACCGATTCGATGGACCAGTCGCTGAGGCCCGCCACCACAGTGGCTCGCTCGCTCGGGTCGAGGCCCGCATTCACGAGGAAGATGATCCCGCGCAGCTCGTCGGGGATCAGGTCGATCGCGTCGATGTCCGGACATATAGCCCGGACGCTCTTCTCCATCTCCTGGTAGGCATCTTCTTCCTGCTCCGCGTAGAGGCCGATTGTCTGCCCAAGCTTTCTTATTCTCGGGCCTGACGTTTTCCGATCGTAATAGTATGCGAACACTTTGTCCACTACATCGCTTGATGCTTGCTTCCCCAAACTCTTCTGGAAGGCCTTCAATAGGTTCTCCGGGCCTTTTTCTCCCACGATCGTGTCTGGTGTGTCCTCCGTCCGCGGCAGACGCAGGGCCAGCTTCCTGTGCGCGGTGTTCTCCGGGAGAGCCTGCACCAGCCGGGGTCCCAGCAGCTTCCTGTCGTCCTCCTAGGTCGCCAGGGTGAGCAGCTCCACCTCCGCTTGGTATTCGTCCAGGGTCTCCGCTTTGCCATCCCACGTCGGAATCCTCTGGATCTCGACGCCTTGGCCAGTGCTCGATGATGCCATATTGAGAGCGTTGAGTCCAGATAAACAACCAAGCTCCGCACTACCAATGATTTATCGCCTCGTCGAGGTTGACTCGAAGAGAAGTCGCTGAGATAATAAGGTGATATCTGTAATCAACTTCCACTGTGTAGGATAGGAAGAGTGTATCTTTCCTCGGGGCAGGATGCCTGGGGCTCGATCACGAGCCAAGTCAAACTAACAGTTCGATATGGAAACCGCGCACAGAAAGCTCGAGCACTGAATATGAGTACAGAAATCCACATGCCAACTTATTTTAGCGTTCTAGACAAAAACCTGATTTCTACGAGAACCCGGGGCACCCGGCGCACCCCGGAGACCCGGGACCCCCGGCACACCCGGCACACCCGGGGCACCCGGCGCACCCGGGGCACCCGGCGCACCCGACACACCCGGCGCACCCGGCGCACCCGGCGCACCCGGCACACCCGGCACACCCGGGACACCCGGCACACCCGGCACACCCAGGGCAGCTGGAGCACCAGCCCGGCACACCCGGCACACCCGGACACCCGGGACACCCGGGGCACCTGGGACGTCCAGCACACCCGGGGCGCCCGGGACATCCGGCACACCCGGGGCGCCCGGCGCACCGGGCACACCCGGCGCACCCGGCACACCCGGCACACCCGGCGCACCCGGCACACCCGGGACACCTGGCACACCCGGGGCACCCAGGGCACCCTGCACACCCGGCCAGGGCACCCGGCGAACGTGCCGGCGCACCCGGCACACCCGGGACACCTGGGACACCCGTGGACACCCGGAACACCCGGCACACCCGGCATGTCGGGGACACCCGGCGCACCCGGCACACCCGGCACACCCAGCACACACACACACACACACACACACCCGGCGCACACCCGGCGCACACCCGGCGCACCTGGCGCCGCATGCACCCGGCACACCCGGCGCACCCGGCGCCGAACGCACCCGGCACACCCGGCACACCCGGCGGCCGGGCACCCGGCGCTGAGCGCACCCGGGGCGCCCGGCGCACCCGGCACACCCGGGACACCCGGCGCACCCGGCACACCCGGGACACCCGGGGCACCCATGGGGGACACCCGGGGCACCCATGGGGGACACCCGGCACACCCGGCGCACCCGGCGTAATTACCCGGCTCGCCCGGCGCACCCGGCACACACCCGGCGCGCCCAGGGCACCCGGCGCACCCGGGAGACCCGGGACACCCAGCACACCCGGCGCACCCAGCGCACCCGGCACACCGGGCGCACCCGGCACACACCCGGCGCACCCGGCACACCCGGCACACACGGGGCACCCGGCGCACCCGGCACACCCAAGGCAGCTGGCGCCCCAGCCCGCGGGACACCCGGGACACCCGGGGCACCCGGGACCGGGACACCCGGCACACCCGGGGCACCCGGCGCACCCGGCACACCCGGCGCACCCGGCACACCGGGCACACCCGGCGCACCCGGCACACCCGGGACACCCGGGGCACCCGGGGGCACACCCGGGGCACCCGGGGCACCCAGCACACCCAGCCAGGGCACCCGGCGAACGTGCCCATGGGACACCCGGCGCACCCAGCACACCCGGGACACCCCGGACACCACCCGTGGACACGTGGCACACCCGGCACACCCGGCATGTCGGGGACACCCAGCACACCCGGTACACCCGGCACACCAAGCACACACACACACACACCCAGGACACCCGGCGCACCCGGGACACCCGGCGCACCCGGCGCCGAGTGCACCCGGCACACCCGGCGCACCCGGCGCCGAACGCACCCGGCACACCCGGCACACCCGGCGGCCAGGCACCCGGCGCTGAGCGCACCCGGGGCGCCCGGAGCACCCGGCACACCCGGCGCACCCGGGACATCCTCCCGGGACACCCGGCGCACCCACGCACCGCGCCAGCGCCCAGATCGAGCGCCCGCAACACCGGGATACCCGGCGCACCCGGCACCACCGGCGAACCCAGGACACCCGGCACACCCTGCGCACCCGAGACACCTGGCGCACCACCCGGCACACCCGGGACAGGCCCGGGACACCCGGGACATCCGGGACACCCGGCACACTGCATGGGGACACCCGGGACGCCCGGACCACCCGGGACACCTGGCACACCCGGGAGACCCGGGACACCCGGCGCACCCGGAAATCCGGGGACACCCGGGACACTTGGGACACCCGGCGCACCCGGCGCACCCAGCACACCCGGGGCACGCGGCGCACTTGGGACTTCCCGGCGCACCCGGCACACCCGGCACACACGGGGCACCCAGCGCACCCCACCCGGCACACCCGGCGCGCCCGGCACAACTGGAACCAGCAGAGAGCAGTCTTCTCGAGACGAACAAAAAACAGCCGAGAGCAGCAGAGAGCAGGGAAGGGGAGCGGACAACAACAGAGAGCCTTGTCAAACGCAGCAGGCATCCAATGCCTTCTGCAATCTCTGCCAACAGTTCGGGGGATGCCCCAGTCGCGTATATAGGCATCGTGATTGCAGCCCCCCTCTGGCGCACTGATGTGATGCACTTCGTGGGCCCGTCGCCGTTTTGGCTCCGACAGCGCGCCCCCAATGGTGTCGCCGTAACAGTGGCCCGTCGGAGACCACCTCAAGAACGCTAGCTAGCGCTCGGTTTCCCGAACCCAGACGAACCAGTGCGCATGGCGGCAGAACGTTTGCACAGTGCTCTCAAAGATTTGGGGGTGCCGGACATCGCTGCCGCGGGGCTACTCCAACAAGCACAGCGCATTGCTGGCGGGAGCTGTGGTGCCCTGTCCCATCCGAACGGGAGCTGCCCACACTGTAAAGGCCCCATGCGCCCACAGGAGCGGGAGGCTGCGACAGCAAGTGTGCTTAGTGTAGGTGGATGGGGGTCGCGGCGCCACGTGCCGTTGAGATGCGAGCCACGTTGCGCGGGTGCGCGCAAAAGCGCGTGTGGTATAATTACATCTCAGAGTCTACGAGCAACCATGCGTGGCATTGGAGTGGACACGATCGGCTGGAATATTTTTCTTGACAACACCTGGGGCGTGTCTGCCCAGTGTCTGCGGCAATTCGCGCAACGCTTGGCCTTCCAGCACGCATCTTTTGACAGCGAGGCCAAGGTTTACCGGGAGCTCGCAGAGGTGGTCCCGTTCAGAGCAGATTTGAAGTTGCAGAGGGCCTGGGTCGCGCGGCGCGCCATGGCCCGTATGTTCTGCAGGGGGAGCTGAATTTGTTGAAGACGTCGCCGGACATGATAAAAACCATTTGGTCATGGTACCCAGAGCACATGTTCAGCCGACGAGGGCAGGGGCTCACGGACAGCGGGCGCTCCATCAACACGCTCGTCATAGATGGGAATGCGAAACTGGCCCGCCGGATCTGCGGGCGAGCTGTTGCCGAACTGATGTACCCCCCCTCCCTGGAGAGGCACACTGCCACGCAGTGCTCTTGCAAACCGGGATTCAAGCTGAAGCGTTGCAGCAAGCACTTGGCTCGCGCCCTGACCGAGGACGACGGCCCGCCGCAAAGTGAAATCATAGTTTCGCACAAGCGCCGGCGCGTGCTGGAAACGGCCCCCAGGGCTGAACCGTGCGACGTGTGCCTCGCGGCGCGGGGCCAGAAAGATATCCCAGGAGCGCCGAGGCGCTGGGCCGCCGCGCGCCGGGTCACCCAGGGCCAACTGCAAGAGTACTGGGGCAATTGTGGACACCAGGCGCACATCCCGGCGATGTCACCCGATGCGGACTTGCAGTCCGTGTCGCGCAGGACCCACAAAGAGGCGCATTTGGGCAGGGCCAGCCGCGGTTCGACCCCGGGCCAGTTCAGCAGAAGATGCGGCTGGCTTTACGCCTGCACTCCAGAAGACTACATCGTGCATCTGAAGGAGTACGTGGGCGCAGAGAGTCTGCCGCAGCGCTACTTCTTCTTGGCGGAGGTCGTGGAGAAGGCCCCAGCAGTCGACTTTGTCCGCCACGACGATGCTTGCGATTTGCGGCGGTGCGCTTCGAAGCGCGAGGGCGACGGCGCCTTCGCGCGCAGGCTCGCGCACCCCAACATCAAGTACATCACCGACGGACTGCGCGACAGAAACCACGTGGACCCCTGGCGCCTAGCAAATTGTTCACCCAAGGCAGACTGCAACAAGGAGCTCGTGAAGAACATCAATAGCCAGATCTGCGAGCAGCTGTTCTCGTCTCTGGGGCGCCACGAATATTCTGCGCGCCGCATGGGGCAGTTTACCTCGGCCTTCTTGCTAACGGAGCTGGCCGAAGTGAAAAATGAGGCCTGGCTGGCCGAGCAGGCGCGCGCGGCCCGCGCGGGCGCGAGTGCGGGGCAGCCGGGGGGCGAGTGAGCGAGGCCGCCCGGGCCCGCGCGCCGATTGCCCGCTGCTTAGGCGTCGCGCACCGCGCCCGCCATGTCCGGAGCGTTGCAAGGGTGGGCTAGAGCTAGGTGCATGCATAAGTTGCACAGAGAGAATGGAGAACTGGGTGGCCGGGAAGGAACATGACAAGGCGCGGTCGGGGCAGCCGAGGGGAATGACAATTGCCCGAGGAGAACCCGCGCGAGGGCGCTCCTAGGGACCCACCACCTGGTCCTCGCAGACAGTTGGCTCGAGTGGGAACCCGACTCGGCCCCGGCGCGCGGCGGGAAGGCGATGCAGCAGTTCCGAGATGAGATGCGCGCCGTGTGGGACATCGTCGACAAGGAGTACGACTCCAGGGTCGCCTTGGGCCAAAAGGCATCGCAAGCGATTCTCACTCTAGCCACCCGGTCGTCACATCACGAGTTCCCGTTCGGAATGGGAATTCTCGCCCGCCTGTGTGCTTGCACCAACGGTGCACTGACCAGCATATTCCCTGGTGACCCAAGCCCGGTAGTCTTGCCGGTCGTCAACATCAATTACCCGCAGACTCGGAAGAGCTCCACGCACCGGGTGGGCCTCGTCGTGGGGCGCGCGATTGTCGACCACGTGCTGGCGACTGCGAGCGCCTTGGCCACGGGGGCAGGCCCTGGCTCGGAGCTCAGATTCGCAGGCCGATCGAGCATCTGAGCGAGTCAGCGGCAGATCGGATCGCGGGATCGACCGGGTCGGGCCAACCGCCAGGGGGGGTCGACCGGCTCGGCGCGGGAAATGCGACCGTCCAGTCCGATCGCGCGGGGATCTCGGAATGGCGCCTGCGAGGCGACAACGTCGGGGCCCTGGGAATCAGCACCGCGCAAACGGGGGCATTGGCGGACCCGCCCAGGCGGGGGGGACTTGGAGATGTCCTGGCCTGTGGTTCCAGCATGCAGTCGGCTGCGTGGGCCCCCCTTCAGGTGTTTTTTTCATTAGTTTTGTTGCGGGGCTCTCGAGGCCCCCCACAGCGTTCGCATCACCCTGGAGGAAGGGCGCGAGAGCCAGGAGGTGGGGGGGGAGAGAGAGAGAGAGAGAGAGAGAGAGAGAGAGAGAGAGAGAGAGAGAGAGAGAGAGAGAGAGAGAGGACCGCGCGGGACGCCGCCAGCCGCAGGGCTGCCGGCGCAGTCTGGGTCGGCGCGGTCGGCGACGAGTGGGGCCAGCGGGCCTTGACCCAGGCTCAGCCGCGGCGCGCCCTACCAGGCCGACCGTGGAATCAAGTCAAAATTGTTCCCTACCTAGGCTCTGCCTGGAAGGGTTCTTGCTCTATGTGCTTAAAGGGCTGGGCACTGGGGCTCGCTCCGGGCGGTTCCCCCGGCATCCGGCCCGCGGTTCCCCCAGTTGCGCCCCCTGGGTTCACCCAGTTTAGCTAAGCTAAGCTAAGCTTAGCTTAGCTCAGCCTATCTCAGCTTAGCTTATCTTGGCTTAGCTTAGCTTTGTCCAACCTAGCGTAGCTTTAGCTTAGATTAGCTTAGCTTAGCTTAGCTTAACTTTGCTTATTTCATCTTAGTTTAGCCAAGCTTAGCTTAATTTAGCTCGGCTTGGTTTAGCTTAGCTTAGCCTAGCCCAGCTTAGCTTGGCTTAGCTCAGCATAGCTCAGCTTACCCTAGCTTAGCTTCGCACAGTATAGTGCAGCGCAGCATTAGCACCGCATCGCATAGCATAGCCAAGCAGAGCCAAGCATAGCATAGCATAGCTCAGCATATCATAACATAGCATAGCACAGCATAGCATAGCAGATCATAGCATTGCTTATCATAGCACATCGCAGCATACTATAGCATATCACATCATAACATTTCATACCATATCATAGCATAGCGTAGCATAACATAGCATATCATATCATAACATAGCGCAGCATCAAATATCATATCATAGCCTAGCAAAATATTGAGATGCCTGCAGATCGCATAGTATCATAACATATCATAAAATAGCATGACCTAGCAGCGCAGAGCATAGTATCATATCGTAGCATAGCATAGCATTGAGATGTTGGTGTAGGTGTAGGTGTAGATGTGGATGTAGGTGTATATGTATATGTAGATGTAGATGTAGATGTAGATGTAGATGTAGATGTAGATGTAGATGTGGATGTAGATGTGGATGTGGGTGTAGATGTAGGTGTACATGTAGATGTAAATGTGAGTCTCGCTGTTGATGTGGATGTAGATGTAGAAATGGGGCGGGACTGCGCGTCGTTGATCGGCTTCCCTCAGGACGGCGCCTCGGTGCAGATGCAGGAGCACGGCGATGTGTTCCTCACCGACAGGGAGATTATGAAGTAACAATTTTGCGAGGAGAACCCACTGTCATCTGTTCGAATGTGTGCGGCTCCATCCGGAAGACCCTGCCGAGCCAGGAGCCGAGCGCCCGCGGGAGAACAGTCGCCCTCCGGCAGCACCATTGGAAGGCGGTCGTGCAGGCGGGGCTCAGCCAGCATCACATTGGCACGTACGACGACGGCTCGAGCGCGGAGGACCAGCCGGGCGCCCCGCGGATCCATTTGAAGCTGCCGCCGCCCGACCGCCGCGACCTCCACCTGCCATTCCACAACCGCCTGATGAAGCTGTGCGGCGTTTCCTTGCAGGCGCACACGAGTGCGATTGGGGCAAAGGAGACCAGGAAGAGGAGAGCCCCGCCTGCCTCCGCCAGCGCTCCGCGAGCCGCGCGGCAGCGGGGGGCCGCGGTGCCAGGCGGGCAGGCGGGGGCCCCGCGCGGCCCGGGCGCGACGGCGGCGGCGGGCGGAGTAGCAGGAGGAATGCCCGGCGGCGCGGGAGGGGCCGATGCGGCGGCGACGACCAGCGGCACAGCGCCGACGCCCGCCGGCGCGGCAGGCCGCGGCGCGGCACCAGCGCGGGCGCGCCCTGCAGCCCTGCCCCGGGAGAATGGTAGATTTTGAGTGGAGCGTAGTCGAATGAGAGCATGGGTGAATCGAGCCGCCCACGCCTGCGCCAGGTGCCCGTCGGGATGCCAGGACGCGGGGCGCTTTCCGGCAGTTTTGGTCCCCGACCGCTTAGATGCGGGCGCTCTCTGGCAGTTTTGGTACCCGATCTATGCTCTACGGCCTCAGTGCACCTGTACTAGGCAGCTCTGACATGCTGGCGTCGCGCAGGACGCAAGAGAGGAGGATCAGGGCCAGGAGTAAAAGGACGATCCAGCTAGCCAGTTCGAGCGAGTCAATCATGGCATGCACATTCCCACTGTGATTCCCACCCGCCCTCCCACAACATAAGAAACAGTGATGGCGCAATTGGTAACCGAAATCAATCGTCAAGGTGGTGTGCCACAGCTGATGAAGCCGCCATGGTGGGTACCGATGGGGAAATCGTCGCCCGTCTCAATGGATGCGCTGGCATTTCAGCACGAACCGAGGATGCCCCAGGAGGCCCCAGGAAGCTTCAGGAGGCCCCAGGAGGCTTCAGGAGGCCTCAGGAGGTGGTGGGAAGCTCCAGGGGGCTCCAGGAGGCTTCAGGAGGCCGCATTTCGCATTGCCGACGACAAGTCAGGCCTTGTTGAAAGGAAAAGCGGGAACTTTGTATTGAGTTTTGACAGTCAGGATGGGAGGGCCCAGATTGACGTCCACGCGCGATGCGCGCCGCGTCCCATTCCTGCCACGCAGTTCGCATCGTCGACGACAAGACAAGCCATGTTGGGAGGAAAGACGGGCATCTTGCACTGATGTCACACAGTCTGGATGGGAGAGCCCGGATGCAACCGCCATCGGCCAGACAGAGGGAGAGTCGGAGTATGTACAAATAAGGAGTAAGAATGAGGAGGATGTGGAACGATATTGCCATGCATCGTCCCGTCCCATGTCCCCATCTGTATACGTAAGTCCTCACAGATTGTCTGTGTTCACAAGTGGACGCGCACATTTGAAAGACAGGCGCTCTGCGGGCGTGGTGTTCACGATTCGTGGCAGACCCGGCGCGCCCAGCACAACACCCGGCGCGGCGAACGCACCCGGCGCCGAGCGAACCCGACGCGCGTGGCGCACCCTCCGCACCGAGCGCACCCGGCGCCGAGTGCACCCGGCGAACCCGGTACACCCGGCGGCCCGGCACCCGGCGCCGAGTGCACCCGGGACACCCGGCGCACCCGTCATCGACCGCACCCGGCGCCGAGTGCACCCGGCGCACCCGGCGCACCCGGCGGCCCAGCACCCGGTGCCGAGTGCACCCGGGACACCCGGCGCACCCGGCGCCGAGAGCACCCGGCGCCGAGTGCACCCGGCGCACCCGGCGCACCCGGCGCACCCGGCGGCCCAGCACCCGGCGCCGAGTGCACCCGGGACACCCGGCGCACCCGGCGCCGAGCGCACCCGGCACACACACCCGGCACACCCGGCGGCCGGGCACCCGGCGCCGATTGCACCCGGGACACCCGGCGCACCCGGCGCCGAGCGCACCCGGCACACCCGGCACACCCGGCGCCGAGCGCACCCGGCGCCGAGTGCACCCGGCGCACCCGGCGCACCCGGCGCACCCGGCGGCCCAGCACCCGGCGCCGAGTGCACCCGGGACACCCGGCGCACCCGGCGCCGAGCGCACCCGGCATAACCGGCACACCCGGCACACCCGGCGGCCGGGCACCCGGCGCCGAGTGCACCCGGGACACCCGGCGCACCCGGCGCCGAGCGCACCTGGCACACCCGGCACACCTGGCGCACCCGGCACCCCGCACAAGCAACTGTTATGGCCCAGGGGACGACCGACCGACGGATGGAGAGCTCCCTGAAGCAGGAGCCCAGGTGGGGCGGGTGCCTGCGCCTGCGGGCGCGGCAGGCTGTGGCTTCGGCCGCCTTCTCGGGAGCCCACCGCGTGGCGCCGGGACCTGGGTCGCTCTCCCAGGATGTCTCGGACGGTTCGGGCCGCCAGGGTCCCTGGACCGTGCGGTGACGGACCGTGCGATGAGGTCTGGGAGGTCGATGTCACCGCACGGTCTGTTGCCGC